GGGTGTAGTCGGCGTGTTGCGATGTTTGAGAGATGGCTTGACGTGGCTCGCTTGTGGCTCGGCGCGGCTCGCTCAACGGCTCAATGCGGCTCAACGCAGCTCGTCGTGACTTGCTAGACAGCTCGGACGGCTTGTTTGATGGATTGACACGGCTTGCCGATGGCTCAACATGAGTTGATCGACGTCTGGCTTCCGAGTGCTCCAGAGCTCATGTACTTGGCCTTGACATTCCGACCTGTGTCTGTACACCCTCTCCTCCAAGCTCCAGCGGCAGGCGTGTGCCTTGAGTCGATGATCCCATCATGCACGCATCTTGCTTCGGTCATCGCGAGATGCCGCGCGAGATGGTGCATGAGGAAAAATAAAAAGATTTGTGTGTCATTGAATAAAAATCAAGTAATAAATATTTAATTGAAAATTCACTTAGCTTTTGGGCGTGTGAACAAATCGTCTTGGCCTTCTGCCCAATGAGATGGCTTGCATGTATACTTGTGTAGATGTATACACGTATATGCGTAACTCTTGGCTAGCTTGCGTTGTCTTCATGCTGCTGTGGATTGAGCCGACGCCTGGTCGGAACTTTGGCCTCATGACGGACGCACATGAGGGCCGTCGTGGACGATATGATGGGAAAAACCGCCGTCACAGATTGACGCCGAGTTGCCGCAATTTTGACGAAACTCCACATGTTGTCGCCTTGATCTTGCTGGATTGCATGTCCGTCGTGCATGAATACGATGGATATACTAGTTGACGTCACCTCTTGCATGTATCCCCGGTACAGTGATCGTTGAACGCCTGCCGCGAGAAGCTGGGTTGCCGCGGATGGCGTTGTTGAGGAAAATTATCTTTGGATAGACATCTGGTTGGTCGCGATGAAGTTGTCCGGTCCTCGAGCTTTTCGGCCTGTCGCCATGACTGTGGTCGCGATTGTCGTAGCGCCGTTCTTCGCGATGATCATCATTGCGACGTGGTCTGGTGGCCAATGTGGTCGGAGCTCGGCGGAGCTGCTCGGGACGTGGTCGACGTGGTCGTGGTCGGAGCCCGGCGGGGCCGCTCGAGACGTGGTCGACGTGGTCTATAGACTTCTGGGCCCGGGGTCGAATTAGTAGTCCGAGCAATCGGAGGTTCATCGTAGATGCATCCATCTGGTGATCCACGGAAGCCTCTGTCTCCATGATATCCATAATTAGCTTGCTTGTTGTTGCCATCCGTGTGCCCGACGGAAGCTTTGCATGGCGGTGTAGATATGCCATCACGTGATGACATGATGTTACACTTAAATCTTCGGCGTTGATGCATGCAGACCCGATCTGGCAGGAAGGTTCACGCGGGAAGCACGGCGAGTCCCGCCATAGGTCGTAGTCGCCGTTGCCGAAGGACGTTGTCGCAAACAACATTGATCTTGAGATCCCATCTGGTTCGTCGTGGATCAGCACACACAACCCCTAAAGGAGCCCCTACCTGGCGCGCCACTGTCGATGAAATATGGTCGGCAGTCTACCTAGGGGTATACCCAAGGTAGTAGATTGTCGGCAGACAGATGCGCAAGCCACAAACAAGACGGTGACGCAAGACAGACACAAGGTTTTATCCAGGTTCGGCCGCCAAGAAGGCGTAATACCTACGTCCTGCGTCTGATTTGTATTGATGTATGTCAATGAGAGATGTTTTTTAGAGGGGTCCCCTGCCCGCCTTATATAGTTCGGGGGGCAGGGTTACAGATCTAGAAACTAATCCTAGCCAGTTACAATTGCCATATGTGGCCGGATAAGGATTCCTATTCTAACCGACCAGGATCTTGATTGATCGCCAAATCCGCCTTGACTCCTTGCGCGGGACTCCGATCAGGTTAGCCGGGCCGCACGTCATCTTTTGGTGGACCGGACCCACCGATCCGGGCCGGCCCAAGCTTAGCCGTAAGGGTATAGGGGTTAATACCCCCACAGCGGCATCAAGGACATGGTGCTAAAGTTGTTGATCAAGGGCCCCTGTTCCTAGGAGTTGCCCGCCATCGGTGTCAACGAGGGTAGGAACTGCTGATGGGATAGTGCAGCAGCGTAGGCAGGGGCCGGTGAGGGCACACCCCTATAGACGAAGCTCGGGGGAGCGCCATAGTGTCCCTGCTGCCCTTGTTACTGGGGCAGCGCAGTGAGCGCCGCAGTCGGCTCGAACGACAAGAGCTGCGGAGGGCACGGCGCCGGGGCCGATCCAGACAGAGCGTCGGGGCCATAAGGATGCGGCCACAGCTACAGAGTGCCCACCCATGGGTTGGGGATTAGGGCGAGCGGAGGAGTGGGACCAGGACGAGGGCCGCCGGAGCCGCCACGCCCTCGGCGACGGTTGTTGGAGCGCTGGCCGCGACTGGGTGTGCCACCAGGGGCAGCGCCAGAGCCACCCCCAGCGTGTCCACCTAGTGGACGTTGGGGAGTAGGAGGCGGCGCGGCGATGAGGGCGGGTGGAGGGTCATCCTCAGTGACGTCGTTGATGTCGATCTCTTCGAGGAGGAGCAGGGTGCGAGCCTGATCGAACGTCGGGAAGGGACGCTGCATTTTTAGGTTAGAGACCATGTGATGAAACTTCCCGTTCAGCCCGCGGAGCAGCGTCAGCACAAGGGTTCGATCGCCGACGGGATCGCCGAACTCGGGGAGGGCGCTCGCCATCGTCTCCAGGCGCCGGCAGAAGTCGGTGATGGACAGGGCCCCCTGCTTGAACGTGAGGAACTCGGCAGAGAGGAGCAGGGCACGCGATTCCCGCTGGCCGAGGAACTCGTTGTCAAGCACCGACCTGGCGACGCGGGCGTTGGGTTCGCGAAGCATGACCTGCTGCTGAAGATTGGCGGCGATGGTGCCGTAGATCCAGGTGAGGACGGTGCAGTCCATCTGCACCCATGCCGAGCGATCGGGGTAGGCCACGTTGGAGAGGACATGATCCGTGAGGGCGTACTTGCCGAGGATGACGAGGAAGAGGTTGCGCCACCGGTTGTAGTTGTTGGCGGCGCGATCCAACGTGATGGGGATGAGCACCTTGATGTTGACGACAGCCAGGGCTTGGGCGTGCACGGCGGCGTGCTTAGCCTCGTAGGCGTCGAGCGCAACGATGCGATCAGCCTCAGCCTTGGCGGCGGCCTCGCGCTGTAAGCGCTCCTGCTCGGTCGCGTCGTCATCGGTAGGCGCCATGAGAGGCGGCTAGGGTTTGCGGCGTGGGCTGCGAGCACGGAGGAGGAAGGAGAGGCCGGCGAGAGAGGATCTCGGCGACGGCGGCTTTAGGGTTTGCGAAAGCGGAGAGGTCGCAGAAGCGAATCGTCTCTTGATACCATGAGAGAGTATTAGGGTTTAGATAATGCTCGATTAACATTGATTAGTGACAACCATTGAGTACATATAGGAATGATGGGAAGCCGGGATCGGCAGGCCCAAGGCCCATGGGCTTACACTCTAACAACGAGGAAGGTAGAGGATAACTCTGGCTTGTTTGCTGTGAGAATTTTGAATGTGTTGTAGCAAAATAACTTTGCAAATCCTTTTCACACTTTTTAATAGAACCTGTGGTGCTGATTTTACCTCGGTTAGCTTGTGGCTAAGCGAGAAGAAGTTTATAGTGATTAACATGTTTTCTACAGCTGCCCTATGGGTGCTATGGAAGCTAAGGAATATATAGTTTATGTTTTGAAGAAACTTTTTGGAAAAGTATGATCGTTCTGTTATTGAAGATCTCGGTGATGGTGCTAGGAGGTGCTCTGCTCACCATAGCATCAACAGGAGTTCAACTCCAAGCTTGCCGAGCTGAAAATTAGCAATAAGACCGCTGAGGCGGAGCTGATGATTCCAGGAAACAAGGGAGAAAGATTCTTATACCTGAATGCTTCTAACTGGATGAACAGCTACCTGCCTGCTGAGTCCTCCTTTGGTTGGGTTTCCTAACCTACTTTTGCTTCTCAAAAAGCCAAAGTCCAACCAATGGTAACCTATAGCTGCTTTAGGCCAAAAGCTACTTTTACTCTAGTACAAATCCTAGAGCACCTGCAGTTGTCTCCAGGAATGGCTAGACTTAACCAAACTAGGTCTATCTTGTGGAATGTAATTGTAGATGGTTCAGTTCTGTGGAGTGGTGATTCTAAACTTTGGCAAAACTGGGATGATCCCATCCGAATGCTGTAACTGACACTTTGGCTCTAGAACTCTAAAAAAAAAGAAGGTCATCGATACGATCCTATATACGTCGTAAGACATCTACTGCACTTGTCTCCGCCACTTCTCGGTCTGCACATCTAGGTCGTTCATGTTTGTTACCTGAACCGGAACGAAAGATTTCAACAGTGATCTGTTGGGCAAGAGGTTACCTGCTTACTCGCTGAATGAGGCATAGTTTCCTTAAATTATTTGGCAGCAAAGTATTTCAAGAATATTGCCCAGTTGTAATTATGTGCACATACTATTTATTTATAGAACAAAGAATAACAATTACTACTTGTCATGTCAATGGGAGTACGTCAAGACAATGCATATTTATGCTTTTACTGGACTACATACAACGTCTCTTATGGTTATCCTCGGTAGACACCAAAACATCCCACGTCCAAACGAATGGTTTCAACTAACTTTCAATCTCCAGGTTTGCCTTCCTGATCAGACTTTATCGAAACTATAAACATCAACCCTCACTCTTTGTAGACTAGATAGAGGGTAAAAAAGCTTCGTTTTGTTCAGTTAAATTCAGCCTACCCCTTTGTAAAAACAAAAAAATGCAACGTATCTCTAAGCTTCTTCGGCATTTATAGAAGATTAAGTACCCTTATTGGTCAGGAAAAATATGGGCAGTCCCGAGAAGAATCAATGGTCAAGAATGTACCATAATTCAACTGCTGTAAAACAGCAATCGACCAGAATTCAACTTCCTATTCCAACTAGTTTCTCCCAGAGAAAAAGGAAATAGAAAGCTATGCATGCAATGAGAGAAGAAAAGATTGGCAACATATACAGTTATACTTCATTCAGATTTCAGCTGCTTGTGGAGACCTCCCCTTCAGTCATGTTTTCCTCTTTCGCCATGTTTTCTTCATCCCACATTCTAACCTCAAGAGTGGGTCGGTTTGGAAGGAGATTGGCTGTGCTCCTGATATCTTCTTCGAGTGCCTCCACTTCCTGAACCGTTGCACCACTGCAAATGATCTCAACGACAAGATGGCTAAGCGAAGAGAGGTGCCAGATGGCAAAAGAAAGACTGGTGCTTGCATTGAATGAAATACACAGCTTCTCGAGATTTGGCATGGCATCTGCTTCAAACATCATCCCAGACCTGTTGCTCCAGCAGGTGAAGTGGAACTCCTTCAGGCATATGAACTTGCCGCTTCGTACTACAAGCCTTTCTTTTGGGTTTGCTGCTTTTGATGTCACCCAGAGGCACATCAAGGAAGGTAAATTTCCTAGGGTCTCCAGTGTTTCGTTTTCTACTGGATCAACATTGACTTTTAGGTTCGTGAGCTTACCAAGCCATGCTATCCAAGATGGAATTCTGGGGAAATAGTAGTCCAAGCTCAGCTCAAACTTCTGGAGTAGATGAGGGGTGGGGAACCAAGAATCCATCAAGAAATCTAAGGAACGGCCATAATAATCCTGAACGCGAAGAGATAAATAACCATGAATGCATAGAGACCGTAGATTGAGTCTGCCAAGTTTGTGGAGCGATGAGAGCAAGTTATCAACAAGAGCTCTGGTGTAAGTGTGTGAGTTGACAATGCACCAGCGCAGACGAAGAATTCTCAGTTTCGTCAGACTGCCCAACCCCAGCAAAGTAGAGGCCGAACAGTTTTGGCTGATTTTGATCTCCGATAGCTCCTGCAGTGCATGCAAGTTCCCAACCTTTTCAGGTAATTCCAAATTACTGACACGCAAACATGTCAAATTTTGCAGTTGAACAATGCTTTTTGGTAATTTTGTTATCTTTGTCCCTCCTAGATCCAAGGTCCGTAAATGCTGTAGCTCTCCTAGTTGTTCAGGCAGCGCAGCGACGCTTCTTAGATCTAGTCTAAGGTACTCCAAGTGAATAAGCCTCCTTATATGTTCAAAATATTTGTGTTCCATCTCCTCACTATTTTCTATATCAAGCACCCGAAGAACTTGAAACTTTACAAGAGAAGGCATCTGATCTGAATACCCAAAAGCACTGAGTGACCGACAATGGGAAATAATCGCTGTCGATGGAAGCATGGCATCTTGGGAATAGTAGTTGAGAGACAGACGGCGAACCTTCCCTTTTAGCACTAATTTCTTATTTTCGTCACCAACAAAAGTGGCAAAGTTTTCTTCAATTGACTTGGATACAAGGAGATCAAGAATCATATCATGGACACGGCATGAATCAACTTGACCATCATATTGGATTTTCACTGGCTGAACCATGTTTCTGTTAATAAGATCATTAAAATGACATTTTCCTATTTCCTGCAAATCTTGTCCATGTTCTGTATCAATAAATCCTTCAGCGATCCACCTTTTCACAAGTCGATCCCTCTCGATCTCATAATCTTCTGGAAATATACTTAGATATAGTAAACACGTCTTTAAATGGTGGGGGAGATCATCATAGCTAAGGGATAATATCCTTCTCATTTCTTCCACGTAAGGATCTTTTTCCAATGTTGAACCAATTGAGCTGTATACTCTGTCCCATTCTTCTTCCGTACTGACTTTATTAGCCAATAAGCTAGCTATTGTGAGAATGGCCAATGATGAACCCTTGCATTTTTCCAAGATTTTAAAGGAAATTTCTTCCAATTGTGGAGGGCATGTATCTTCTGAGCCAAAGATTCGTTTGAAGAATAGACTCTTCGAGTTTTCTGTACTAAGAGGCATTAATTCATAGACATGATCAGAGTGAGGAGAGGAACACGACTTGGCAATAGAAACAATGCGTGTTGTCATAATTCTGCTTCCACAATTGTTCACATACAAAGCACATTTGATGGTCTTCCATGCTTGAGTACTCCATATATCATCAATAACAATGAAGTACCTATGAAGTGTGCATTATCTATGAATTAGGAACAGATCATAATTGAAAAGAATATAAAACAAGTGGGAAAAGATCACCATTCGTTGTTTCTCTATTTATGAAGTACAGAAATATTTGTCTTTTAAATTTGTCCTTAAACAAAGAGTTTAAAAAAATCACATGTTTTATCAGTGTTGCAATAAATACCAGATTAACTTATCTTTTAAATTTCTCCTTGGAGTGAACACCAGATATTTTGTCTAGTAGCTTTTAACCCTAGGCTTAATGGTCATAAGATTTTTATGCTGTGAGGTACAACCATCAATTCCGTAATTAGCAGTTTAGAATACATAAGCATACCCCATAAGTGTTTGCTAAAGCATCATTGAGCTAGATTTAAATCAAAATTACTTGAAGAAAAAATTGGAAGTCCTAAAAAATCTGAAACACATGAATTCTGTAACTACTGTGAAACACAAGAGAATCCATATATTTTGTAACTTATTCAACTTAACAGCATAAATGGAAATACTGACTTATCAGTTATCTGCATACATCTCTCTCTCTCTCTCTCTCTCTCTCTCTCTCTCTCTCTCTCTCTATATATATATATATATATATATATATATATATATATATATATATATATATATATATATATATATATATATATATACATCCACTACTAAAAAACTCAAATGTTCCCGTCTACCCGCCACCGTGGTGAAGCCGTGAAATCAAAACCCACATACCGATTTCTCTGACGCTGCAACACCAGCTCCCTCCACCTCGCTCGCCTCCTCCACCCCCGTCTGCGATCTGACGTGCACCGACATGTGGGGTCCACCCGTTCCATCCCACGCCTCGCTTGCACACCAGATCCAGCCTCCCTGACCCTGCCTACTCCTTGCCCTCTGCCTCACCAACCACCGTTGCGGGGAAGCTCCTCAACAAGCTCCAACCCTTAGGTTCCCCGTCCTCGCCAGCCCTGTGCAGGGCTCTCCGTGTGCTCCTCGATGTCGTGTGCCACCACAGCGACCTGTGCGAGATCTCCCATCTCCCCCACTGGTTCACCCTTGCCGCCGCTGCACCACCAACTGCTTCCGTCTCTGCTGAGCGAGGAGGTGATGCGGCATAGCGCAGCAAGAGGACTGAGGTGCTCAGGCGCTGGCGCAGGCCTAGCTCTGGCACGACCTCCATGGCTCTGTTCCCTTGTGACTCACTGAGATGTGATCCCCTCCCACATGGTCTGGCAGTGGCTCAGCAACCTGGTCAAATCTCATCTGCGGACCAAGCTCTCCTAGACTACAACGCCCATGGAGGATCCATCAACGCCCAGTGGAATTTTTCATGGCCCGTCGATGCTCCTCTTGATGGTTGTGGTGCAGCACAGAGACATGGAGACAGCCTGCGGCTGTGTTCTACCTTTCCCATTTATAAATCAGTGTTGCTTATTGTCAGATTATGTTCTCAACTTGTTCTACATTTCAGTTTCTGTTCTACATAACCAGTCAAGGAAGCCTGGCGTGGACGCATGGTTCAGGAGTGAATCTAGGATAAATTGTCACCGGGATTCACAACTGCTGAAGATGTTATATGACTACTATACCTATTTATCTAGTTATCAGGGAGTATAACAGCATAAACCTTAAGAATTTGAATTATTATAAAAATTGGATAATCAGAAGAAGAGTAACATATTTTTCTACAAATATTTTTATGCTATTTGAGCTCCACTCAGCATCCATAATTTGCAATTGGATTCTCTTTGACGTGCCTGAACCGTGACTAGGGGCTCATGTTGGGTTTCAACTCTAGCCAACCCCAACTTGCTTGGGACTAAAAGGCTTTGTTGTTGTTGTTGTTGTTGTTGTTGTTGTTGTGGATTCTCTTTCCACTAAAACAAGTGGAGCCCTTTCTGACTTACTTTGTTTTTCCTCCAGCAAGGTATTTGAGGCATGAGGGTTTATATATAAGTTATAAGTGCCAGCTTTTAGGGAGAACGCTGACCAGCAGGTTAGGGCAGATATAGTGACCGCCGATGCTGTTAAATGGCTGGTGGGCTGGGGAGCTAAAAAACGAAGAATCTAGCATAGGGGAGCGGTAACTGCGTCAGACGGATGGGAGCGAAGGCACGAGACAGTGAATGGAATGGAGACGAAGAGCTAGAGGAAGACAATAAAAAGTAACATTGTAACGTTGATAGTAAGATTACTACTTGACAAACAATATTGGCTGGGGAGAAGAAGCTACAAGGGCTAGGACTGGCGCTTGCAAACGAGGTCCTTTTAGCTAAGGTCGAGTCGTGTTTGTTCACTATGTGTTTGAACCATGAGTCTGTGTAATCGCCTCACTCATATTTGGTCCCCACATGAGTGAGGATCCTGTTGGGACCCCCCCCTATTTTAAATTTTTAACACATCTTTAATTTTTGTTTGCTCGTAGCAATGCACGGGCACAAACTTAGTCTAGAAAATAAAAAGCAATACTTTTGTAGTAGACACAGCACAACACAGATTGACCAAAAGAGAGCGTTGTAGAAAATAAGCAACTAACCAAGTTGCCATTCTGAATTAGTTAACTTACCTTTTGCTCTGTAGAAAATCTCGGATTGCATTGATAAACTTCTCCTCATCCCATATTTCCATGTTAAGATACTCTTGCTGGCTGACTTGACAGAGTATATTTCTTAAGATCTTCTTTAAATCAGGCTGTTGTGACAACGAAACAAAAGCTTGACACTGGAAGTGGCCTTCTAATCTACGGTAAACCTGACATGCAAGAGTGGTTTTACCAAGACCCCCAGGACCAACAACAGATATCACTTTCAGGTGCTGCACTGATGATCCCTCCCCCTCCATTAGCAGACTGACAAGATCATCTCTCGGCTTGTCAATACCAACAAGCCCGTCTTGTTCAGCATACAGTGATGGCAAGCGCAGGTCAATGGCAGTAGTCGGGGTAGATTGAAAGGCACGCTCATCAAATCTGTACCTCATGCGGCGCTTGTTAGCATCTTCAACACGTGCCTTGAGCTCTTTGATTTGGCTGGCAATTTGATGGCGCGCTCTCAGCACCTTAAGCTGCCGAACAAACCTGTGGACAAGACCTGAAGAATTAACCATGGCATTATGGCCAATGCGATGCATAAAGTCGTCGATACAATCCTCTATGTCATAAGACATCTCCTGCACTTGTCTTCTCCATTCCTTGGTCTGCACATCGAGGTCACTATCGATTCCTGCTAGCCTCTGAAGGAGGCCGTTAATGCTGCTCAGCTCATCCTTCAAAAAGTTCACCTCCTTCTTCATGCCCGTCAGCATTGTGTACTCTTCTCCAAGCAGGGTCATAAGCTTGCCAATAACAGAGGTGACCTCAGTCAAGGCACTCGCCATCTGTTGAAATTTGGTGGGTTTAGCGAAATTGAAGTCCAAGCCTCAGCATGATAAAGAAGAGAAAAACGGGTATATAATTAAAGCTTGTGTAAGCATAACAAGAGAAGCAACAATACTCGAGATCCACCAAACCGCCACACCAATGCACAACAATAATGCATTCACTGACCACGGAAGCCAGGACAGTAGTAGTTGGGCAGAAAATGCATAACTGGTCAAATTAATATCAACAAGTGGCCACTACATGATGCTTTTAGCCCCAAGACAGCTTGTGTGAAATGCTATATGTAATAATCCTCAAAGAAGCTCCAAAATTTTAAATCGCTGAAGCACAGCAGCTACCTTGCAATCCCAAATGAACGGCAATCAATCGAGGCCGATTAGATCGGCGAGGTTGGGGAAGGCCAACCCGTCGCCCTGCGAGCTCCGCGCAGCCGCGGCTGCGAGCAACCGATCTGGCGGTGGCCGGAGTGTAGAGCGGGACCCGCCCAATGGTGGGAAGATGGACTGCGGACACACGCCTCGCGAAGGTCGTAGGCTGCTTGTGGAGGTGGAGCCTGGGGAGGGGATGGGGATGGCGTATTGTAAGAAAGGTCAACGGCCGCCTTTGCGTGCTGAACAATGTCAAAAATGGCGAACTTCGTCTCGATCGGAAATACTCTTGCCGTTCATACATTTTTCTCTCAAGACAATTTTTTTTTTGAGTGGCTAGCGCGCACACGTTCGGACGCTGGGCCCGTCCAGATGCCCGCGCCGTTGCCTCCTGTCCCGTGTCCCGCCGTTGCCCACCCACGTTGGGCCGGCTGCGCCCGCCGGCAAGCACATGGGGTCTGCCGTGCAGGTGGGGACCGTCTCCGCCTTCCCATGTCTGAAAGCATTCAATGCAATACTTGAAACATTCAAATACAACAATTACAACATACGTTTGAAAATAAATTAAATATTTGAAACATACGTCTGAAACACTTATAAAAACACTTGAAACCATTATAAACATACGTAACATCCAGATAAAACACTTGCATCGTATGTGTGAAACATATGTAACGTCCACATAAACACACTTGCAACATGAAACACTTGCTGCAATAGAAGACCAAAACAAGTGAAACATTTTGCAACATGTGTGTGAAAACATATGCAACATCCAGATCAAAATAATTGCAACATACGTCTGAAAACATATGAAATATTTTGAATAAACGCTTACAACGTGCCTCTGAAACACTTGTAACATATGCAACATGTGCGACATCCTCCGACCTACTTTGCAACATCCATACGAAACTCTCTGAAATGTTTGAAATAATTGAAACATACATTTGCAACAGAGAGGAAGAGAGGTCTGGACCGGTCGATTCCAGCTGACGGGGTGGGAGGCGGCGGCGAGCACCACCTAGCACCAGCACCGGGCTTGGCTCTGCGGCGACGGTGGGGGATGGGGAGCGGGGAGCACCATGGTCGTCGGGGTAGGGGGAGCTCGGTTGCCGGGGTGAGAGAGAACACCAGCTGGGGTGGGGAGGGCTCCACGCGTGGGTGGGGAAGAGCCGCCTCCTCCCTGCAACACCGCTGCGTGACCTTCGGATCTCGCCAGAGGCGAGTGGATCTCGTTCGTGCTCCATGAATCTCGTCGTGGTGGGGGAGAGGGCCGCCGGACCTGCGAGCGTCGAGGGCTCCCGGTGGGAGAGGACGCTGGGTGTTGGTGCACTGCGGCAGGGGATGAGGAGCGTGGATGGGGTAAGGATGGGGTGGAGGAAGCGAATAGATAAGTTTTTTTAATATACATGCGGGCGGAAACAAGCGATGAGGGTGAAAAGCTATTCGACGTTTGTGCGATCCGTAGGACGTGTGATACATAGCATTTCCGATCTTTTTTCTCAACGACGTCAACGTAGGCATGTCTACCTAATCCAACCGAATAACACCATCCATCACTGCCACCTAGGATGGCTGGACTTGGAATTCTCTTTGTTAACACGCAGGTACTATAAGAGTTTGGGTGAACGAGATGACCCATGCCCGGCCTCTCGGTTACGTGTTTATAGGAACAGGGAACAGCCCCCTGTGTGGCTTACAATGAATCTATTGTTACAACAAATACTCCACAATTCTCTCCACAATTCTCTCAACTTTCTATACTACCAATATACATAATAGGAAACCGAGATATCCTCTAATATTCCCCCTCAATCTTAGCCACTAACAAGGCTAAGATTGGACCGAAAGACTCGTAGCTTCGCAGCAGGTATGGCTTTTGTGAATCCATCAGCAAGTTGATCACTTGAGTTGATAAACCGGATATCAAGAAGTTTGTGAGCGACTCTCTCTCGGACAAAGTGAAAATCTATTTCAATATGTTTTCGATCCGAGCATGGAACACGAGGATTTCTTTGAGAGATACTTGGCACCTAAGTTGTCACACCATAGACGAGCTGCGGTGGATGAGGAACTTGTAATTGATCAAGATCTTTTGAACCCAGATCATTTCGGGCGGCGGCATTGGCAAGAGCTTTATATTCAACTTCAGTCTTTGGAACAGAGATCTGATGGGTTGCTTCCGAAGCGCACCATGAGATCAAGTTATTCCCAAGAATACAGCAAAACCACCAGTGGACCGGCGATCATCAGCACAACCGGCCCAGTCAGCATCCGAGAATGCACTTACTAACATAGAGGAAGAACGCTTGATTTTGTGCCCAAGAGCAATAGTGCCTTTAACATACCGTAATATCCTCTTAACAGCACTCCAATGGGTGGTCGTTGGAGCATGAAGGTATTGACAAACCTTGTTCACTGCAAAGGCAATATCGAGGTCATGTCAAAGTCAAGTATTGAGTGCACCAACAACACTCCGTGGCGTAGTAGAATCCTCGGTCCCAACAAAACACCATCGATTAACCTCAACTTGTCGATTGGTAGGCAGAGGTGTATCAACAGATTTTGCCTTGTCCATCCCTCAGACGTGTCGATATATCAGATGCATCACTTGTTGTGACAATAGAAGTCCATCATGAGACCTTGTAACTTCAATGCCTAAGAAGAAATGAAGGGGACCAAGATCCTTGAGAGCAAAATCTTGCTGCAAATCTCTGAGGAGTGCATCTGTACCTTGCTGAGATGAACTAGCCACTATAATGTCATCAACATAAACAAGAACAAACATAACATAACCCCCTCGGATGAAATAAAAGAGAGATGTATCAGCTTTGGAGGCAACAAAACCGAGCACTTCTAGTCTCTTGCAGAGTCTTGCATACCACGCCCGTGGAGCCTGTTTCAAACCATAGAGAGCTTTATCAAATTTACAAACATAAGTGGGATGACAGGCGTCTGCATACCCTGGAGGCTGGTTCATGTACACGTCCTCTTCTAGAACCCCATGAAGAAAAGCATTTTGAACATCTAGTTGACGAAGTGTCCATCCCTTTGACACAGCAATAGAGAGAACAAGTCTGATAGTAGCTGCTTTGACCATAGGACTAAACGTTTCTGCATAATCAACACAATACTGCTGTTTAAAACCTTTGGCAACAAGATGAGCCTTGTACCTGTCAATAGACCCATCAGCTTTGCGCTTGATCTTATAGACCCATTTACAACCAACAATGTTCTTGCCCTTTGGTCTTGGAACAAGATGCCACGTCTTGTTCCGTAGTAATGCTTGATACTCATGATCCATAGCTGCTGACCACTCCTTGCTTGCAAGGGCTTGATCAAGATTGGCTGGTTCACCTGTAGATACTGCAGTGTGCATACCATAGCGTATAGTGCCATCAGAGTATTGTTTGGGTTTGAATATACCGCGGGAGAGGTGTGTTGTTGGCCGAGTAGAGGGTGGCTGCACCGGAGGAGTCGCAGAGGATCCGGGGACCAAGATCCTGGACGTCCCATCAGCCGGGACAGTTGGGGAGGCCGCCGGATCAGGTTGTGCAACAGGTGAAATAGAAGTAGCCGCTGTTGGTGATGAGCTCGGTGCAGAGGATCCCGGGCCTGACGACGCGGCAGCATTCCCAGGAGACAGCGGCGCAGGCGAGGTCGTTGCTGCGCCAATTCCCGAAGATGATGGCGTGGCAGGCTCGATAGAAACTGACGGCGCGCCAGGGGAATCAGCCTCGATGCCCGGGATGCACCCTATCGGGGAACACATGAAATGTGGAGGCTGAGTTGAGCCGGGCACCACCGTGGATGCAGCATTTTGATCCGAATTTTCACCTGTAGAACACTAAGAACCAGAAGAACTCGATGCACCATTAGTGTTAGTAGGAGAAAGCATAGACTGGTCAAGCAAATTTTGTTCCCCACTACTAGACAAAGGGTTGCGAAGCAAATCGGGTAGGAGTTCGATTTCTTTGCGAAGTAAAGCACTTGCATTGGGATGAAGGGCAGCAAAGGGGAACACATCCTCGTCAAAGATAACATCACGTGAGATGTAGACTCGACCAGCTTTTGGATCAAGGCACTTGTAGACTTTGTGTAGAGGGCTATAGCCAATGAATACGCACTGTTTAGAGCGAAATTCTAACTTCCGTGAATTGTAGGGCCGAAGATTAGGCCATACAGCGCAGCCAAAGACACGAAGAAAATTATAATCGGGTTTTTGACCATGGAGACGCTCAAATGGTGAGGTGTGGGCGATGACTTTAGATGGCAAGCGATTAATAAGAAAAGTGGCAGTGGCAAAGGCCTCGTCCCAGAATTTAAGAGGCATAGAGGCATGAGCTAGGAGAGTGAGTCCCATTTCAACGATGTGGCGATGTTTGTGTTCCGCCGACCCATTCTGCTGGTGAGCATGAGGACAGGAAACATGATGAACAATCCCAATACGCTTAAAAAAGGAATTAAGCGCTTGATACTCAACCCCCAGTCGGTTTGGACTGCCTTAATTTTCCGCCCAAACTGTCGTTCAACAAGGGTTTGAAACTCATGAAAAATATTGAAAACCTCAGATTTGTGACGCATCATATAAACCCAAGTGAATTTGCTACGATCATCAATGAAGCTGACATAATATTTGTAACGACCAACAGATGAGGGAGCAGGGCCCCATACATCGGAGAAAATAAGGTCCATAGGACTATCAGACACACTGGTTGATGTAGGATATGGCAACTGGTGGCTCTTGCCTTGTTGACAAGCGTCACAGACTCTATGTTTATTGGAATCATGCAAAACAGGTAAACTATTGCGACTAAGGACCTGTTGAACGACACGAGACGATGCATGCCCTAGACGGTGATGCTAGACTGACGAGGAAGGCTTGGTGACACCCAAAGCTTGTTTATTCGATGCTGAGGAAGACGCATGCAAGGGATAGAGTCCTCCTTCACATTTGCCGCTGTGAAGGATTCTCTTCGTCGCCTGTTCCTTGATAAGAAAATGATTGGGGTGAAATTCAAGGAAAACTTTGTTATCTTTGGCTAGGCGATTAACAGATAAGAGGTTTTTTGTAGCTTGCGGCACATGTAGAATATTTTTATGATGGAATTTGCGTAATGGGGAAGAAAAGGTGCTATGACCAATATTAGCAATCTCCATACCTGCCCCATCGGCCGCATGCACTTGTTGATCACCATGGTACTTGTTCCGCATGGTCAGGCGCTCTAATTCGCCAATGATGTGATCAGTGGCGCCTGAGTCCATATACCAATTTGTATCCACGCCGTACGAGTTGGATGTGGAGGCCGAAGACGCGCTCTTCTGCGGTGGACCGTTGAAGTTGCTGCCGTACCTCTTGAAACACCGATGAGCGGGTGGCCCTCCTTGCCACAGATCTGGCAAAACACACCGGGTTGGAAGTTGCGACCATGGCCGCTGTTGGTGCCTCCACCTCCGGTGTTTCCTCCTCGGCCACGATTATTGCCACCTCGGCCGAAACCCCCACGGCCAGTGCCGCGATTGCAGGAGTTGTTGGAGAAGTAGGGGCCACTGTTGCGACCGCCCTTAGCAGCGACATTGGCGGACAGATGAGATGCATCAGCATGGAGCCCCTTGCGTTGTTCATGACTTATGAGTTGGGCATAGAGTTCAGGAACAGTGATAGGTTCCACTCTTGCCGCGATTGCCGTGACAACCGACTCATACTCCTCACCCAAACCGGTGAGGATATAGGTGACGAGATCTTCGTCTTCAAGCTTCTTGCCTGCCGAAGCCATGTCGTCGGCGAGGCCTTTCATCTTGACAAAGTAGTCAGCGATAGAGGACGTCCCCCGGGACGTCGTAGCGAGCGCCATGCGAGTGGAGATGATGCGGGCACGTGACTGGGAGGCATGAAGGCCTTGGATCGCCGCCCAGAGCTCAGCCGCAGTCGTCGCTGATGACACTTGCGCAAACACTTCCTTGGAAAGTGATGAGAACAGGTAACTCAGCACTTGTTGATCTTGGGTGACCCACGTCTCATGCGCGGGGTTGGGCATAGGAGGCCCCTTCTTGCCGGTGGTTGGATCGGCTTCTCCTTCGAGGAAGGCTTCCGGCGGCGCAGCACCCTGCTGGATGTAGCCGGCAAATTTTGCGCCTTTGAGGGTGGACGACACCTGGGCATACCACATGTTGTAGTTTCCCCGGGTCAATTTTTCAGAGACAGGAGGAAGGAAGCCGAAGGCAAAGGCATTGAGCCCGGCGGCGGCGGTGGCAGAACTTTGCGCCATGAAGGATCGAAGTTTATCCCGTCAGGGAGAAAAAAGCTCGATACCATATAAGAGTTTGGGTGAACGAGATGACCCATGCCCGGCCTCTCGGTTACGTGTTTATAGGAACAGGGAACAGCCCCCTGTGTGGCTTACAATGAATCTATTGTTACAACAAATACTCCACAATTCTCTCAACTTTCTATACTACCAATATACATAATAGGAAACCGAGATATCCTCTAATAGGTACAGCCAGCGCAAACTATTTTCATCAAAGCGCAATTGATAGGAGTCCAATCGGTGCTTATGGCAGAAGCGGCTGCCTTAGCACTGGCTGCAAGGGTGAATGAGAGCCTCAACTTGGACAACACAGCTTTCCTATCAGATTGTCAACAGTTGGTGCATTTCCTCAATCAACAAGACCACACACATCCCCCAGACTGGAGAATCAAATTCTTTACTCAATCATTTACCAATTGCTTGGTTCATCGACGGGTAAAGATTCTCAAAATCAACAGGAACCTCAACACAACTGCTGATGGCCTAGCTAGACTGGCTTTCTCTGCATCTGGCACTAGATATCAGCATGTATGCTCTTATTTGCATCACTGAACTCTGTAAACATGCAACATGTAACCTTACTGTCAGCTTCTTGCTGTTAATATAACATCGTTTGTTGTCAAAAAAAATTTTAATTGAGATTGGTAAAAGAATAAAGAAAAACTAAGATCGCTTCAAAACGTTGTGAGCCATTGAATCTCTCTTGAACGATGGATATATATACTCCGTACATACGGAAGTTATGGTGTGACTTACCTAAGCATCGTTACTGAATCCCCGTCCGCAACAAGACGACATCTCAGAAGGAAAATCAAATCAACACGAAATTGTTGTTTTTTAATGTGACTTTTTAAGTTAGGGAGTATGTTAGGAGGCAGGAGCAGTGAGGAAGGGGAAGATAACGTGAGGAATAAGAACACGAGACGAGGTTCACAGGGCAGATTAATCAGTAGAGTTAGGTTTCGTCATTCTTCTTCTTGTTAGAGCAATTCCAGCAGGCTATCTAAACTCACAAACTATCTTACTCTCTCACGGCCCTCTCTTTATCCAATCGGACTTACCGACAGCCTGTCCAGCAGTGCAGCTGCTGCTTCTAGCACCTACGGATTAGGCCCACTCTGCACTTAGGATGCTGGATGCGACGGCTGAGTCTAACGGCTTTAGTGTTATAAATCGGGCATGTCGGACGGGCTACAGTTGCGCATTCAAGTCGTGAGCGTTGTATGCATCTTCTTCAGCAGTAATCGGCGTAACATTCCCACCTCTTTAGAACCTGCTTGCCCCCAAGCAGGTGCTCGAGGAAACTGCTGGCGAAGCACTTCGTCGTAATCCTCTCACATGGATAATGAAGCCGGCAAATCTGTCCATTTGATCTGAATCTGTAAAATAACAGAATTGCCAGTCAGAGAGACAGAGACATTCAGCGTGGCAACACCTTCTCTGGTGCCTGATAGCCTTCAAAGGTACGCGGCAACTCTGCAATCAACTGGTTCATCGAAACAACAATCTTTAGTTGAGAGACATGAAAAACCAGGTGGTCAAGAGACATTGAAGGAAGCTGAAGCTTGTAGGCCATAGACCCAACCCACTCAGTGACCTGAGGAGCAAGTGATGTCTGGTGGACATAAAACCAATGACAACCAAAATCACAAAAACTGTTAGCACAAGCGTTTGGCTTAAAGGAACTGCAAAATCATTTTTACATGCAGTTTCTTAAGAAAAGCATATGTCGAAATTGCTTTGCGTAAGTGAGCAATGACTTCCCATGGAAATAGACGATTTTTCCTTTGGTTTAGATTTCATTAGGGTAGAGCATCTTCAAGAGTTTTTCTAAAACCCACTCTTTAAATCATCATTTCGAGAGCCATTTACGTACGAATCGCTTTGTATATCTTTTCACTCTCTAATAGTTTTTCTATAGCTTATTTACACTATACAGAGTCATTCTAGCTCCCCGTCTCTGGCTAACGAGAAATTCAGAATAAAAGATGACTATATTCAGATAACCAATTAAAAAAGATGTTTGAGGGTATTTTTTCACTAAAATATCTATTCCTAACCATTAGGAAGGATAAAGAAAGTCTTACAACCTGTGTGTAAAATAGTTCTCTGCACTTGGCGTTTGTTGTGCGTTGATAGCTTACTACCACGGAATGTGCATTACTGCGACAAGCTACTGTAAACCAACTGAAAGGTCACATTATACTAATGAGTAATTATGGCATATTAATTACTACTTCACTAGCCAGTTGGGAAATTTGATAGTAATATTCTGGATTTTTTGGGGCGGCCTGTTGCATTTTTTTTTTGGTTTCTACAGCTAGCTAAGATAGGACGACACCTAACCCGTTGACAATTGATCAATGAAGTTTCTCGGTTATTTCGCTGTTTTCTTAACTTATACTAGAATGAGTATACAATAATTCAAGCAGGTTGTCATCGTCATTTGTTTGTTAATTAA